GATCAGCGTGGATCAGTAATTGACAAAGAAGACTTGAAAGTGTCGCAAGAAATAGTGTTAAGTATTCCTGCTAGTCATTTTTCTAGAGTTATTACTGCTCAATTGGGATGTAAAATAAGCTCCTATCACTTACAGACACTGAAAAGTGCATGGGTGTCTGGAGGATGGGAGATGCAGACGCTAGATTCGTAACCACATCCCGAGCAGAGTTCCCTTCTAGCTGCTTTGAAGCTTTGCTGCTCTCAGTTCTCATCCTAAACCGTTTCCCTTCAGGTAGTCCAGCCCTCCACCCATCTTCCCATGTGCGGTTCAAGGCAAAGCTGTCAATCTGGAACAGACGTACTTACTCTACAAGTGTTTCTTGTAATGAATCAAAGAACGAAGACTTGTTCTACCAGATATGTACAAATCAGGATTTCAACCCTGCTCTCCTGTAGCTTGGCCAACAATCCTCAACCACAAGAAAGCTTATACTTTAATCTCAGTTCAATCAGTGGATTTTTGAAGATGAAGGAGAGTGTTACTTGGATGTAGAAAAAAAAGTTTATTTTGTGCCAAACATGCAGGGAGTAGAAATGGACAAGTTTAAGCTAGCTAGTGAGAAATTAAAAGAAAGCCAAAATCTCTCCCCACCATCACCACTTCGCCCTGATCTTTTTAGTTGCCATCTTTTTTTTTTTTTGGTTGATCAGAGCAAAGCTATAATTAGAGCTGTAACAAGCCAATAATTTCTAAACGCTCATACAAAGATTGGTTAAATAAAGCGATGTTACTCACTGACAAATTAATCCCCCCACACTAAAAACTGCACAAATACTGTTTTAAAACAAAACATCTACTTTGTCAACTTCTGATTCAAAGAGCTAGAGGATACAACTTCTCAGCATTTGCAATGTGCCTAACTGTTCTGTATGAAGGGAAGAAAACACGACCTAATGGCTGACAAGTAGGACCGGGGCGAGGAGATGATTCTCATGTTATTGCTGGCATTGCCACTGACTGACCAGTTAGTCTTGGACCTGTTGCCCCAGTTTTTCCAGCTGCAATAAGAGACGTGCTTTACCTATTGCCTCTCTTAGCAGCACATTGCACCACAAACACCAGTGGGATATTTGCATCCTGCTTATAGGCCATATTTATCCTTTCTAGCCTTAAATCATAGGCAAAATTTCATAAGCTACTTTGAGTAAAGGTAAGTCTCTTGTAAAATCCCCCCCCCCCCCCAAATCTAAGTACTCTACCTATACACTACAGATGCAAGTATAGTTTCTTGATAATATTTTTCTTTACCATCCTTCCCACCTGCTGCAGCTTTTTGCATCTCATTTCATAGTAGATTTAGGCAGGAGTTAGATATGTTTCCCAGCCAGTCTCTGATTGCCAATCATTATTTGATTCACATATAGATGGGGTTCTTCTGTCAAAAAGACAACTGACACTGAGGTCTCACCCATAGGAAATGATCCCTGCACTTCTCTAGCTCCCCAAAAACCTCAATCACATTAGCATTTTAAGCGGTGCAACTTGACTAAACTGTTTTCCAAACTTCAGGCCAAAAGAGCTGTTGAAGTACAGCTGCACAGCATCTTCCCATATTGCAGACAACGCCTGAGGCCAGCCGGAGAGATTTAGAGCAGGGCTACAGAGCTTCAAAGGGAAGCCTGCCAGGCAGAGAGAAGACAGGACTAGCCCATTTGACAACTGAACTGAAACAGCAGGGGAGCAGCCGTAAGAGCGATGGAGGAGGAGGAGGAAGGGGCATGCAAAGAACAGGAAGAGAATCAGAAGAAGAGGACAGGAAGGCCAAAGGTAACGTATATATGAGAAGGAATACATACTTCACAAAAGAGACTCAGGGCAGAAAATGAATGAATAAAACACAAACTCAAACCACATCTCAGAGCAACTAGAGGGAAAAAAACCCTAGAAACAGCATCTCTTAACAGGCAGAGGAACTAGTGCCTGTGAATCTTATTCAAAGCCTGGGAAGGACATAGCTAACAAGACCTATATCAATAAAGAATACAAATAAAAGCAGTGAAAGCAAGTTTAGAAGAGGCTTTGAAAACATGCTCAATTTGTAAAAGTTCTCAAGGCAAAAGAAATGTAGTAATTTCTTCCACTCCAGACAGCTCTGCTTCTTCATCTCAGCTGCTTTTCTATCCCTGTTTCTGTCGTCTTCTCCTCCTCTCCTAAAAATTCAGTAGAGTTAAGCATCAGAGAAAAACTATAGCCCTGGTTTCTCCTTGTGGGAGGTGATACAGTGGCAGCTTCAGAATGCTTTCTTACATCCAAGAATGTGTAGCTTGGAAGCCCCATCCTGCTGGGGCAAAAAGTAAACCCCTTCTTCCCCTCTGGAGGGCTCACAGTGACAGCTAGTGATTCAGCATCCTACCCAGCAAGAGGCCACGTTTTATGAGGAGTGGGACAAGCCCAGGAGGCTCTTTTCTTTCCTAATTTGGATTCCCAACCTTCCTAGGAGGGGTTATACCTTCAGAGAGGAGTTTAGAATTTCAGACTCCACAGATGCAGGCTGACATCATTGTGTTAGTTGTCCAGAAACCAAAGTAAAATAGGTACTGGGAGAACGCTGAGTGAAGCAAGTCTAGCGTAGCTGCCCGCTTGTTGCAGTAAGGCCCCAGACCGACTGCATCCATATCGAGCTGCCTATAGCAGTGCTGGTCTGTGCCCCAACACACACAGTGAAGAAGCCAAGCATCAGTATCATGACCCATCTCTGCAACCTGGCATCTAAGCCCTTCCCATCCATGAACCAGGGCACTCCTGTATGCTCAATAGTTAAATTACTGCCCATGCCTTAGTCTAAGGCATGAGGACCGGGAAAATTAAAATGAAGCAGCTGGGTAAAGAGAAGCAAACATTTAGAAGGAGCAGAACCTGTAATCTTATCTTAGGGTGGCAAATTCCCTTCCAGCCACAGGCAGGGCCCCTTCTCTTTTCCTCCATCACGCTCAGCGCATTCCA